TTAACCAACTAACATTATACATACATACATATCTCTTTTGGTTTCTGTACCCAATATTTAAAAAATTTACAAATGCAATAAAAATATTGGTATCGGTACTCGGTATCGGCAAGTACCAAAAATAAAAGTATCGGTATCGGGCGAGTACTGGAAAAAGTGGTATCGGTGCATCCCTAATAAAAACATTACTGTAATCCACACTCCAGTCCATCAGTTAACATCTTGTAAAGTGAAAATCTGCGTGTTTGTAAGAAACAAATCCATCATTAAGACATTTTGAACTTCAAACCGTTGCTTCCGTAATAACACTTCCTGCAGTGAAAAAGTAGTCTCGGCTGAATCAGGAGAGAAATACGCACAGATCAAGCACCGTTTACAAGCGAAAACAGTCCAAAACGGTTCTAAACAAATATGCTGGTGGATTTTGATGTGAGGGGGTAACAGGGGATGGACTATTTCAGAGGAGGAAGCGTTATTATGGATTACTGACTCTAATTTTGGCCAGAAGTGACGGTTTGAAGTTAAAATGCTTTAATGATGGATTTGTTTCTTAGAAACACACAGCTTTTCACTTCAAACGATGTTAATTTATGGACTGGAGTCGTGTGGATTACTTGTGGAAGTCAAAACACTAGCTAACTGAATAGAACACAGAATACAATAAAACCTTCCAGGCATCCTGAAGGTCATTAAAGTGTTAAGTACGGGTGGAGAGGGCCAGCGGGGCCTGTGCCCTTGTGGCAACAAGTTTCCTCTGTCTGTATCCTGTGAAATCCCCCCAAAATCAAGAGTTGTGTATGACTAATAATTTGCAATATTAAGTTTTTACTCAAGGCAGTTTACATAACCAAATATTTGCATGTACTCTGTCCTAGTCAGTATTATGATGTTGTGAAATATTATTACAAGTTTTCTATTTTAATATATTTTTAAATGTAGTATATTATTGTGATGCAAAGCTGAACTTTAAGTTTTATCAGTCCAGTCTTGTGTCACATGATCCTTCTAAAATGCTGATTTGTGGCTTAAAGGGTTAGTTCACCCAAAAATGAAAATTAGCCCATAAATTCACTTCAAACAGACAGAGTACATGCAATAGTTTTTATAAACTATTTCTTACTATGTGTCAGTAAGTTGTTGTTATTTTAGCATGTGTGTTTGCCTCAGTGTTCTTTTTTTAGGAACGGGACTGAACTAACCCTTTAATTGTTTATTGTTTATTGTTCATTTATTTGATAGGGACAATGCATGTTAATGAACATTTGTAGTAATACAGAATGTAAACAAGCCGGATTATAGCAGCATTGCTAATTTACATCCGCAGTTCCTAGGCAGGTACACTCAAGGACACAGACTCAAATACACATACAACAGTACATAAAAGACTAATACCCCAACACATTTTAACCTTTCAAAGTAAAATGTTTACACAACTGATTCGTTGTGATGATCTTTAAAGGTTGATGATAAATTATCTTTAAAGGTATGATAAATAGAACATTGTCTTATTGACTGCGGTAAGCTATTCCAATATTTACTCCCTATTACAGATAATACTTTCTGTCCAAAAGATGTTCGCCTATATGGCACCTCACAGTCCCCTCTAATAATAGACCTAGTACCAATACTACAATCTGTCCTCGGTTTTATAAATTAATTTAACGGCGGGGGGAGCAAGCCCATTCAAGACCTTATAAATAAAACATGCATATTTAAAATGTTTTTAATTTTCAAAACTCAATAGATTATGTTTTATGATTATGATTATGCTTAAGAAACATTATTATTATTATTATTATTATTATCATCAATGTTGAAAACGTTTGTTTCTTGAAACCATGATACTTTTCGCTTCAGAATTCTTTAATGAATAGAAAGATTTGAATAATGTCCATTTAAAATATAAACCTTTTGTAATATTATACATGTCTTTACTGTCAGTTTTGATCATTTTAATGCATCATATGTATATATATATATATATATATATATATAGTTATTTAGTTATTTAGTTATTTATTATACACAACTTTTAAATGGTTGTGTACATATTCCCCTAATTTAAATTCAGTACTAAAATTAAAAGAAATAAACATAGTCTTCTGCAAATTTTAATAATGCTACACAACCACTAAATGTGCACAATGTTTTCAAGAAAATTTGTATTGATTATATATTGATGTTTGGCTTCATTTTTAAGGGTCTAGGTTAATAAAAGAATTCTGACTGAAATTTTCCACAATGGTACATAAAATACAGTATGAATTATTTAAATACAGTGAATATATAACAACAAAGTTTATTTCTTTAGATGGCCTCACTACTGTTTTTTTTTTTTTTTTTCATATCCTTAGTAAGGAATAGTTGATAATGGATTGTTAAAATTTATAAAACAGATAGCTCTAGCCCCTGGATGCTGTTTGGTCAATATTTTCTTACTTAAATATCTTAAGATTATATTGCTTAAAACAGCTGAAGCGTTACCGGTTCATAAAAATGTAGTTCTATAGACCATTCCCAACCATTTTCACAGAATCTGCAAACTTCCAACCCTGTGATTCATTAGCTTTTTGTGGACACTTATGTCCCTCCATTGAGATCACCTTATTCCTAAGCATACTTTTAGCTATGAAATGAAACCATGCAGGCATGATGGGAAACTCTATTAAAACACTAAAGCTGTTTGTGTATGCACTAAGGGATATAGTTCCAGCACTCCATAACACACATTATCTCCTGTGCACCAGTTTGGCGCCAGTATATCATGACAATGAAGAGCATTACCTCACCACCTCACTTCACTTCAAAGGATCTGCTTTTGTGCCAGCCATGTCGATGAAAATGTAACCCCTCAGATCTACACTATTTATAGTAAATTCCTCCAAAATGCAAGACTCATGTTACGGGTTACACAGAATGACGAACAGCTACTGGAATCGGATGTATTCCTTCCTTCGATCCTTGTACTTTACAAATGACTAATAGTGAATTTGCTTTCTTAACTATATTAAATATACAAAATATTTGCATGTGAAGTGAAGCAAAATGCTAGAAAAATATTTTGGGCTAGAATTATGTGCTTAAATCCACACTGACTAAAACTGTTATGAAAAATTCAAGGGTGGTCTTTCGGACTGACCAGTGCTTATTGAGTGTTTTGATTAATGAGGGGATAAAAATATGACGCTGGATTAAAGCACAGTTGTAGCTGTTGCTTACTGCACATTTTAAAAGCAAATGAAGATACTGGCTTAGATAAAGACATACATTTGAAGGGTGCTTGAATTCTGAGGTTTGTAAATCAAGAGCCATAATCGACAATAATGAAATAATTGTTGTTGTTATATTGCTACCATACCCTGTTATGAATTCTTTTTTTACATTTTTTGGATAATTAACATATTTATAATCATTTTGCCCTTACAAAGGTAAAATATGCCCATGGAGCAGTTATTGCCCATGCTAAATATGAAAGCTACAGAAAAAGAATGCTGAATTCTGGCTCTTTCATCTGGATGGCTTCTCTGTTCAATACGAGCGTTTCTTATCTCTCTTTCGTATTCAGTTCCCAAATTGGCGGAGGGTCTGGACCACTAAAAATAGTGGGGCAGAGTGACATTGATAATCTCTGGTAATGGCACGTTACAGACTCGTCTTGCTGCTGGAAACCAGCTAAATCATTGGCAGTCCTCTGCTGCTGACAGTCAGCTCCAGTTTTGCCCCAAGAGTGTCATCTCTGGATTTCAGTTGTATAACAAAAAAAAGTCCCGCACTTCAAAAGTTTGGAGTTTGAGTAGTTTGAAGGGTCTGTGTTTTGTAGGGAGAAAGATCTTCAGGGGATGGATCCTTTGAAAATATTCGTCTTGCTTCTTGATATTTATTTTATTCGAAATTTTACGGTTCCGAAAATAAGCTGATCTGGGCCATCAATTCTCCAATATACTGCATCTAAAACTTAGACAAAACATTTTTTAAATAATTAATTTACTACTTAGTCATAAATCTGTAAGAATATTGTCATTCACAATCTTTTTTTTTTATTATTAATTTTGCACTCTTTTAATTTGTTTTCGTCTTTATTTATGTTTAAGAGATTATATGAGATATACAGTACATGTACAAGAATGATAATGTTTTATGTATTTGGCACTAATTTTATTTACATTATTTATTTATTTGTTTGTTTGTTAGTTTATTTATTTAAGATTATGTATAAGATATACATGAACATAAATCAGAAATCTTTTTAAAATTGTAAGTATTTATTTTCGTTTTCAGTATGTACAAGATTGATAAATAAAGTAAAATAAGTATAATACATTGTATTTGTTATTTCTCCATTTCTGTTGTCTCTTCCTTAATTGTCTTTTATCTTTTATTTAATTTATTCTTATTTAGCCAAATGAGATTTCTTGCATACTATGAAACTTCAGTGCAGTGAGAGACTTCCTTTAAGCCTTTTATTTATGAATACATATTTATTTATAAATAGATTGTTTAAAATAGTAGATCCCAATGAAACAATACCCTAAGGTTATTTATTTATTTTACACAAAACTTTTTACCTTTACTTTTAAGAATGTATTCACTTCTCATTGTGTTCTCATAAGTATTTATTTTGCACTAATTATCTAAAAAGCATTATTTATTTATTTACATTTTTATTGCATTTTATATTTATTAAAATATGTAATTGTGGAGTTAATTTTATCATTATTTATTGACTCTCATTTTATTTGTATTGTATTTTTCATTTAGTCCATCATCAAAGCCCATCTTACAGAACAGTGGTTTAATAACGTCGGGATGATTAGGAATGAGTTCATGCACATGGTACAAAAAGTAGTGGGATTTTCAACAATATCTGTACAGATGTGAACCGCAACATTACTGCTAACGATCAAACATCTGAGGCTGAGATACAGAACATGTGTGATTAAAAGCACACAAATCTCATGCCATCCCACTGGGCTCAATCTTTGATCTCTGTCTCTCTATAGGCTTACATCAGCGTCAAACACGAGGGAGACAAGGTGATCGTCTTCGAGAGGGCCAACGTCATCTTCATCTTCAACTTTCACCCAACCAACAGCTACAGCAGCTACAGAGTGGCAGTGGGGCCGCCGGGGAAGTATCCTTCACCTCTGTAGACGCTCCGTCTGATTTCAGTATTTGATATCCATCTCAGAGAAAAGCAGTGTTGTTATTAACTACAACAAAATCTAAAACTATTAAAAGATGTTTGTGATAATTGAAATTAAGCTGAAATAATTAAATTAAATCAAATTAATAAAACAATATTAGATGACAAACTTATTTCAGGCAACATTTATATATATATATATATATATATATATATAATATTTATAAGTTTAAATAGAAGTTCTAAAATTACTAAAACGAAAAATGAAATAAAAAGAAATATCAAAAAGAAATATAAAAAAATAATAAAAATGACAAAGTACATAACCAAATTTCTAAAACCTAGACTAAAATAAAACATGTAAACTGAAAATATAAAAATAAAACCAAAATATGAAGTAAATAATATAATAGAAATTATAACAAAACACTAGTTGTAAATACCTTTATTTCTAACTGAAAAATTCACATGATCACATGATCTTTGTCATTGCATGCAAAGAAGGCAAACCAAAATATTTATATATGTTACAAAAATAAGCAGATTTGGGCTGTAATCATCCTCAATATTTTTTTATTTATTTATTTATGTATTTATTTTTTGTTTGTTTGTTTGTTTAAATAATAATAATAATGATGATGATGATGATGATGATTTTGTTGTAATTCCCAATATCTCTATCTGTCTATCTGTCTGTCTGTCTATCTATCTATCTATCTATCTATCTATCTATCTATCACCTTCATGTCGTTCCAAATCTATGAAGTTCAGTGTAATTCAATTTTGAATATTATACTGGTCTCAAAAACCCCATTGTAGTCCATAAAAAAGTCTTCTGAAGTCTTATGATAGCTTTTGTGTAACAAACGGCTGAAATGCAACAGCACGAGGGTGAGTAAATGATGACAGAATATTCATTGGAGAGTTTGATTGTGTACAACAGGTTTAGCCGCATCCGTGTCGGTAGGAAGCTACAGGAAGTGTTTTCAGCAGGGGAGTGAAGGAGAACCCAGCTTTCAGATGCAAACAGCTGTGTAGCCACAGAAATAGCTGTCATTATGAGCGCGAGAGGTAAACACGTGGATGAATTTGCCTGGCGTTACAGTGTGTGTGTTGGCGTGTTTGTGTGTGGGTAAGGTAATGCTCGAAAGATGAGAGTCGAAGCAGAGCGTCCAATTAGAACAGAGGACAGATGAAAGTGCCACTCTGTGACAGAAGAGGTAAACAAGTCTGACCCAACGAGTCCAGAGTGCTTTTTCATTAAATCCCAACCATCTCTCACACATATATCTATGTCCTGCATCTCAGATGGGTCTCCTTGTGATTGTGTCTCTGATTTATGTATCTAGTTCAGTTCATTTAATTTTACGTTTTTGATTTAGGCCGACAATACACCATTATACACCACTATATTGCCCCATATTAATATTATATTTGGAAAATAATCTCCCTGCAAATATAACATTTAAAAATTTTACATTTTAAACTCTTTCTGCATGGTGTCATGTGATCTTTTTGATCACATGATCTCATTTCAAACAAAAATATTTCATTGGACATTTTACTGTTGCAATGCTGTAATCTATAAAATTATGATGATGATTAGGATCTTTTATTTATTATCCAATCTTTTATTGGATTTTTAACTATAAATCGCTCACTTGAACAAAGCTAAAATGTCTTTGTCATTAAATGCAAATCAGACAATTTTTGGGGAATTTTTGCTATTACAAAAATTGTATTATTTGGGCCAGCAATACACACTATAGTGCATAATAATAATAAGAATAAGAATAATAGACAGTAATCAATATCTGTCTGTCTGTCTGTTTAGATTTTAAATGTTTATTAAGTAAATGAATAATGATTTAATAATACATTCTGTTTGTCATTATAAATAGTTTTTCTCTTGATTTAATTTTGATTCATATGACCATGAATCACTTCACTTAATCAAAATTTGATTTGAAAATCGTAATCTTACCACAAACATGATATTTTTGCTATTACAAAAATTTTATTATTTGGGCCAGCAATACACACTATAGTGCATAATAATAATAAGAATAAGAATAATAGACAGTAATCAATATATGTCTGTCTGTCTGTTTAGATTTTAAATGTTTATTAAGTAAATGAATAATGATTTAATAATACATTCTGTTTGTCATTATAAATAGTTTTTCTCTTGATTTAATTTTGATTCATATGACCATGAATCACTTCACTTAATCAAAATTTGATTTGAAAATCGTAATCTTACCACAAACATGATATTTTGAAATTTCAGTTGAACTCCTGTCGTATGCATGTCAGCCACTTAATCTTGTACTTTGTGATATTAGGCAAAAAGTTACATTTACTTTTAAAAATGATCAGCATTTTATTTATTTATTTTTTTAAAACTGAATAGTTTGCATGACAGATGAGTAGATTTTTTTAATTTTTTGGTCTGGAACACATGCATTTGTGTTTACAGCTCAGATGAGGCCAAATGTGCCCCTGAAACATTGGAGCACAAAACATTTTGGAGCCTATTTATGCTTATATTAAATTGCATGTGTGAAATGGGCCAAAAAAATATATTTTTTTTTTTACTGTTTACACATTAAAATACACTTTGGCATGAGCTCCCGCCTCATCAGATGACGGCTGCAAAAGCCATATTTTTGTATGAATTTATATGAATTCATGAATTTGGATTCTAGAGACAGACAAAGCACTTCAACACCTTAAAAAGTCTCTCCCATGTCCTTTCAGCAGGAAGAGCAGCAGTTTTGTTCCTCAGACATCTTCTCTTTTTTCAAAAACTGAAGACAAAGTTTCCCTTGAGTTAAACACTCCACCACAAACATCAGCCATTAAAATTCTGAAGACATCAGCTTTTGACAGGAGCTCAAACCTTCGAAGCATTTTTTTTCTTCTTCTCAATCTTTGGTTCTCTGCTCTTGATGGGCGCGTTCTTCAGGTGCTTCTCTTCATTCAGAAGGATGGAGTATTGTAAATCCCAGTTGGGTATCATCATGAAAGCACATCCTGTCAGGCGTGATGTGTCTTTGATACGCCGCGTGCCAACAGGTGTCTGAGATTGTGTCAGGTCATCATTCTACTATTATCTGTCAGGGGCATTTACCTGAATGCCATTCTAAATAATTCAACCGTATCAGCATCCCTCCTTGAATCTGGAACAGGCTTGTCCCCGGGCAAAACAGCAGCACGCTTTACAACTCAAATATGCTTGATGACTTTATACAAAAAATTAAGTAAGGAATGTGATAAAGGATGGAAATGAGGAAAATGCATATTGATATGTATGAAGCAGGACACAAGTGATCTAATGAAAATGGTTTTTGCTGTTGAAATGAAAGTGTTGTAAGGAGGGTCCGTGTGTCATGCAGGCATATTATGGTTGAGCAAATCTAGTTTCTTGAAGAGCAAACCATTAAAAATGTAAGATTTGCTCTATTCATTTATTTATTATTTATATACTGTACAGGCTACCATTAAGAGTTTGGGGATTAATAAGTTACAGTTACTATTATTATTACAATTTAAAGTAACTGTTTTCTATTTTATTATGTTATTTTATTTATTTTGCAATGGCAAAACTGATTTTCAGCATCATTACTCCAGTCACATGATCCTTCAGAAATCATTCTAATATGATGATTTGCTGCTCAAGACACATTTCTTATTATTATCAATGTTGAAAACAGTTTTGCCGCTTAATATTTTTGTGGAAACCGTGATACATTTATTCAGGATTATTTGATGAATGGAAAGTTCAACTAAACAGCATTTATTTGAAATGGCAATATTACAAAAGTCTTTACTGTCACTAAAATCAATGCATTCTTGCTAAATAATTAATGCATGAGTTTTTTTCTTCTTCTGCTGAACACAAAGATATTCATCATCAACTGTTTGGTTGCCAACGTTCTTCAAAATATCTTATTTTGTTGTTCAGCAGAAGACAGAAACGTATACATGTTTGGAATGACAAGAGGGTGTAAATAATGGCAGAATTTTCATTTTTGGGTGAACTATTCCTATAATGTGTAATCTAATATGATGATTTGCTGCTCAAGACACATTTCTTATTATTATCAATGTTGAAAACAGTTTTGCCGCTTAATATTTTTGTGGAAACCGTGATACATTTATTCAGGATTATTTGATGAATGGAAAGTTCAACTAAACAGCATTTATTTGAAATGGCAATATTACAAAAGTCTTTACTGTCACTAAAATCAATGCATTCTTGCTAAATAATTAATGCATGAGTTTTTTTTTCTTCTGCTGAACACAAAGATATTCATCATCAACTGTTTGGTTGCCAACGTTCTTCAAAATATCTTATTTTGTTGTTCAGCAGAAGACAGAAACGTATACATGTTTGGAATGACAAGAGGGCGTAAATAATGGCAGAATTTTCATTTTTGGGTGAACTATTCCTATAATGTGTAACGTAGGAGTTGTGACACCGGAGTTGTGGATCCAAATGCTAGCTTTATTAAAAGGGCATGGTCAAACTTTATTATGTTATTTTATTTATTTTGCAATGGCAAAACTGATTTTCAGCATCATTACTCCAGTCACATGATCCTTCAGAAATCATTATAATATGATGATTTGCTGCTCAAGACACATTTCTTATTATTATCAATGTTGAAAACAGTTTTGCCGCTTAATATTTTTGTGGAAACCGTGATACATTTATTCAGGATTATTTGATGAATGGAAAGTTCAACTAAACAGCATTTATTTGAAATGGCAATATTACAAAAGTCTTTACTGCCACTAAAATCAATGCATTCTTGCTAAATAATTAATGCATGAGTTTTTTTCTTCTTCTGCTGAACACAAAGATATTCATCATCAACTGTTTGGTTGCCAACGTTCTTCAAAATATCTTATTTTGTTGTTCAGCAGAAGACAGAAACGTATACATGTTTGGAATGACAAGAGGGTGTAAATAATGGCAGAAT